ATAAACAATGGAAAGCTATTAAAATATTTTTCAATAGGAACGGATATGATGAAATTTGTATTTGATCTCCTATGGAGCAGGATAAGGGTAGATACAAAAGGATGAGAATGAATGTAGCAAGACCAGTCAGTAGTCTATAGCCATGATGTACAAATAAAAGTAAACATAAAGATGTTGATGTGGGAGGCTAGATTACTAAGAAGAAGAATCAATATGATTCAGGGATTTACTGAATAATTCAGGCAAACAATAGAGAGGAACTAAAGAGAGCTCTCAGAATTATGGTTATAAGAATTAGGTAAAAATGATATAATTAATAAAAATTGGGAATATGAAAAAAAGGATCTGAAGTTATTTAGATTAATTTTGTATCTACACGATGTCAGGAGGATACTAAAGTTTACAAATGTCATGTGTCAACTGATCCAGAAACCACTGCATCACTCAAATTCTCTGTTATTTAAGTATTACATCATTTCCAATGAATTTATTCATGCCAAAAATATATATTGATATATAATATGAATTGGGCACTATTGTAGGTGTTGGCAGAAAAGGTGTGAAAGCCCAAGTTTTACCTGGTAAACTAAAATTACTGAGACCACTATTAGGACTTTCCAGAGGAATCTTATGAACACGATGAAGACATAGGTTGATTGCAGACAAAGCAGGACACTGGTAAATGGTTGGATTGCCTATTCAGTGTTTGCTGATGAAGGGATTGCTATGAGCTTAATAAAATTCTCACCTAAGTTTGGGCCTCAGCCTATTTTTTTCAACTATGTTATCAATAATTTGGATAAAGAAGGAGAAAATGTATTCATCATAATTACTTTTGAAGGATGTGAGAAATATGAAATAGTATCAGATAAAATTGAACAAAGAGAAATAACAACTTGTATTTTGGGGAAAATATACCTGTGAAAGCCTACTAATGGAGTAATGAGACAGTCAAAAAGTTAATTTGATCATCAGTTTATTAGTAGAAATATAGTATATGAACTGAGTGCTGAAAGTGCCAACCTATGAGTTAGACCTAGGCAATAGGATGCTCCCCTCTCCCTCCCCTGTCTTTGGAGTATACGTTCTGCCCACTGCTTCAACAGGGGGAACAATTTTCAAGGACACAGCTTTGAGAGAGCAATGTGTTGTTGATGATATCTGGATGGTGCATGTGACTGAACCCAATTAAGGCCTCTATATAAACTTTTAAGATTCTGGTGGGAAGGTGTGGAGATCTACTTGTCTTGTGGCGATTACCTAAGAAAAGTCTCAATTCTCTTATTAAACTACGACCTATGCATCTAGAGTGGTCTGACTCTCTCTTTGGTCTCTCATTGCCCACTATGTACAGGAGCCAGTTTACAGAAAAACAATTCCACACACATTAGACAACCCCTACTTTATGGTCTCAGTTGTGCATGTTATACTTTACAGAGGCATCCACACCAGACAGAGCAAAAACACTCAGAAAATCAGAGTATTAAAGGCTTGAAGTTGTAATACATGAGGAAGTGGTGATAAAAATGAGAATATGTATCTTGGGAAGTGTAGAATTATTTGGATAAAATGATGGGACTGGGGTACCTACATGTTATAGCTTAAAATATTAAGCTATGGCCAGGCTGCATGACCTCTTGGAGTAGATCTAAAACCAAGGGGTGAAAACATTACAGCTACTTTTACAAAGAGTTGTGTTCTTCTGAATGTTTGTTTTCTTGATGAGTCTACCTAATCATTTGGCAGTTGTTGTTGCATATTGTCAACAAATATAGTTTTGAATTAGATAACCTTATTTTATTTTTATTTTCAATTTATTGATGTTTTTTAGAGAGAGAGAGGAAGGGAGAGAGAAAGAATATTCAATTTGTTGTTCCACTTATTTATGCATTCTCTGTTTGATTCTTGTATGTGCCCTGATGGAGTTCGAACTCACAACTTCGGCATATCAAGATGACACTCTAACCAACTGAACTAACTGCCCAGGGCGGATTAGATTGCCTTTTCACCTTAAAAAAAAATCCCTTGAATCCTTAGATTCTGTGATTTGTGACCTGAGGAGTCAAAGACTACATTCAAGGACTAAGATGTTTTCAATTCCTTTGAGTTTGGTTCCAGATGCTGGGGGTCCTCCCAGGCTCCCCCCACTGTGTGTCCACTACCTTGGCTTTTCTTCAGAGCTCTCACAGGGTCTTCAGGGTCAATGAGAGACTCGGGGCCTCCCATTCAGCAATGGAGCTCAGCATCTGCTCTCACAAGAAGGCGTGTTCTTGAAGTTTCTGCAAACTGGGAGATGGGAGGTAGTAGGCATTTAGGACTTTGGCAGAAGAACAAAAACACCAACAAAAAGTTTGCTAAGAGGAGAGAATTTTAAGTTGGTCTTTTTATTTTGACAGAGTTTTTGTGGACCCAAGACTTTCTACTGAGTCAGCCATAATAAAACTATTTCAACTTACAGGGAATATTATTTCTGAGTCACAGTAATACAATGATCAGAACATTTAAATGTTTTCAGTCACTAGTACATACTATCTTTACGTCACAGCAGCATACTCGTAATGATAATACTTTTTATTGCACACCACACTATGAAAACACCACAAGTTAAAGACATTTCCTTTAATTCATGAAAGAAATGTTCAAACATCAGGTCCCAATTTCACAATAATTCTTTTTTTTCCCCTCAGAAAATATGCAAACAGTAAGTAACTCATGACTCATTTATTAAAAGTCCCATGATTTCAGTGTAAATTCCTAGTGAGGCTTTGGAATTGAGGCTTCCTTTCTACTGTTCCCATGGTCTCTGAGTCATCAAGGTTTTTAGACATTGGCAGGAGAGCCTGCTCCTACATCCTCATAGTGTTACACGTGGCTAGGAAGGAATATAATGGCAGAACTTGAACTGTGAGTGAGTGTAAATACCATGCTTAGCCCCAGGCATCGTGGTCCCAGCCCTCAGCCCTGGACTTTGCAAGGCTCCTCCAATTGTGATGTGCAAGTAGATTTATCAGGATGTTGTTAAAATACACCTTGTGATTTGGGAGGTCTGGGGTTGGGACCTGAGAACTTACATTTCTAACAAGTTCCCAAGTGCTGCTGCTGCTGCAGGTTCACAAATCCACTTTGAGAATTACTGGTTTAATGACTCCCTCTGTCTTTCCTCCAGACACACCTCCTCCCCATAAGGTGAGTCTTTCATGCAATGCAGGGAACCTGCCAACCCAAAGCCTATGTCGTTCCTTCTAAAGCAGGACTCCAAGAATTCCCGTCCCAGATCACTCTGTGGCCTAAGCACACCTCTCCCCAGTCTATACACCCCATGGTAGATCCAGCCACCAGCCTGTACATGCCAGGGTCTGGGGGCTGACGAAGGACAGCTATGTGGAGGAGGCTTAGCTGTGGGCTGGGGTGTGCCCCAGGCAGAGCTCATCCTGGTGCAGATTGAGGCTGAGGAAGAGAGAGGGAAGGGGTGGGCTCCAGCAGGCAAATGTTGGAATGGTCTTATATCTGTTTATATAACTGACAGGGAGAAATCCCATCCTTTATAGCTTATTCCAACTTTAAGGTTGTAGAATCACAGCTTGGATGGTTCTATTCATGAGAAACCACTGCATCCAAAGTGCTCTTGTGAGAACATGGGAACAATGTTTTCTTCCTTTCCATATAACCCTCCACAGCAATTTTCCCCAATGACCACACAATTTAAGGGACAGTGTGTAGTGTGTGGGGTTTGAGATGCCACAGGTTTTAGCTGAAATCTCGCTTTAACTTCTTGTGTGATTTTGAGAGTGTCAGTTACTTTTTCACAAGAGGCCATACTTTGCCCTCAGTTTCTTGATCTTTAAAATGAGAATACAAATGCTTTCCTACTCTCTTGCACCTCTTCCCCATTTACACACAACTTCTACTTTATCCTTCATTCATTAGCTCAAATGCCACCATACTGATTAGATCAGGTGCCTCTAGATCAGTGGTCGGCAAACTGCGGCCCCTTGAGTGTGGCTCTTCCACAAAATACCACGTGTGGACGCGCACGTACAGTGCGATTGAAACTTCGTGGCCACACTCAAGGGGCCAAAGAGCCGCATGTGGCTCGAGAGCCGCAGTTTGCCGACCACTGCTCTAGGTAATCTGCAAGTCACTGCACTTTTTCATTGCATTTGCAAACCTTTGTTCTTTAATATTTGTCTTTTTGTTTTGGTTAATGTCTATTAACCCACTGGATATCAAGAGCAGGGGTCATGTCTCCTTAATTTCCTTAATTGTGTCCTCTCCACCTGGCACAGAGGCCAGAACCTAAGAGATGCTAAATCCATGCTTGCTAAATGATCAAACAAATGTTTGGTTATTGTCACAATTAGAGAAAAAATATACTAAGTGACTGGCACATAGTAGGTGCTTAATAAATGACATGGGTGAGTTTTCAGTGCAATTGATATTATAATTAGACATTTTATCTTGTTTCCTCATACTTGATTCATGGAGGGAAATGGGGTGAATTTGGGACAGCCATGATTTGAACTTTCCAAGTCAAGGAAAAAAATGTGGTGTGATAAACTACTGGCTTGAACAACTAGAATCATGATACACTTTTCAAAGGCTTAAAAAATGAAAAACCCACGATTTAAAACAAAGGGAAAAAGTACAAGTAAAAGTTTTGTTTTTGTTTTTTGTCAATGTTGCTAGTTCCTCAGAACTCATGCCCCAAACAGTGCATCTTCTTAAAAGACATGTGGTGGATAACTCCTTTACCCAAGTCCTCACGCTGACATCCTCTGCCGCCTCCTCCCCCTCACTTCTTGGGGCTTATTTTATCTGTCCCTTCAATATCAGCCAGCCCAAATATTATCCTGTCAGATATTTCTGGGGCCTGTACTTGAAGAGACATTTCTTTTTTTTAATGTCAAAATAAACCATCTGCTTGTACAACTGTTTCTAATTACTTTCCTGCCTAAACTCTCCACTTGAGGGCTTTGGCACCAGCACCCCGCCCAGAGCGGTGCTGCTGCCCAAATCTTCACAGGCGGCTCATCAACGCACTTGCAGCTCCGGGCAGAGCCCAGGATCTGCGCGCCTGAGTGTCGGTGTGTCCGTCTGCCCTGCCTTCTGCTGGTGGCACCCCGCCCTCCTGCAGCCCCCCACCCCCCACGCCACCCCCGCGGTGAGCCCCTCCTTGCAGAAGCACAGCTCGCCTCCACCGCCCGGGAGCTCAGCATGCGTCCCGCGGGCTTCAGGAACTTCTTGCTGCTGGCGTGCTCCCTCCTCTTCGCGGGGCTGTCAGCTGTTCCTCAAAACTTCTCGCCATCTCTGAGGTAAGTTTGGTTTGTTATTCAAGACAGACTTGCCCTGCTTTGTGCGGCAGGGCTCAAGCCTGCAGGATGGCTGCCCTAAGGAAGTTGGACACAGGATGAATGCTTTCAACCTGCTCCCCTTCCTTTCCTTATATCTATGCTGCGCGTGGCTCCTCTTCTGTTCTTGTTGCTTGTACTTTGGAAAAAAGAACCACCGAATAAATAAATAATTTCCTCCTCCGCCAATGCATATCTGGAGGAATTTCTGCCATGAGTTGAAGGTAGTTCTCTCTGTGTGTATCTATGTGTTACATTTTGTATTACAGTTGTAAGAGACTTGGAGGCACATTGCAAAGCTAAACCTTTAAAAAGTATACTTTATAAGCACTGCTTAATGCAACTTTAGAAAGCTTTGTGTCTTATGCCATCATAACCTGTATAACCCTTTCTATATATTCATTTCTTCCTTTTCATAAAATAACTGCCCTGGCCATCAGGTAGTAATGGGGCTTTTCAAAGATAACTGAAAAGGCAGCTAAGTGTCATACTTTGGATTGATCTGTATTTAATCTTAATGTGCATGTAAGATTCCGGTACACACTTCCCAGGGGCGGGGCTGGATCACCTCTATCCAACCGGGAGATGGCCCTATGCCTTGGTGGGCAGGTCATTTCGGGTCAAGGTCATTTCTCAGGTGATAGCTTATGGGCGGTGCCCCTTGCCCGGGATGCCAGGGCACTTCTAGAGGAAGCTTGGCCCCCAGAGCAGTGCGGGGCCTCGTGGGGTTCTGTCTGCATCTGGGTGGGCTCGGAGCAGCAGGAGCAGAGTCTGTGCTTGACCAGGACCCTGCTGTGGTTTGTCGCCCATGCAGAAGCGGGCCAGGCGCCACGTGCCGGCTGTCCCGGGCCGAGTCCGAGCGCCGCTGCAGGGCTCCCGGGCAGCCCCCAGGGGGCGCTCTGTGCCACGGCCGGGGCCGGTGCGACTGCGGGGTCTGCATCTGTCACGTGAGCGAGCCGGGCGTGTACTTCGGGCCCCTGTGTGAATGCCAGGAATGGGTGTGCGAGACCTACGACGGGAAGACCTGCGCAGGTAAGGGAGGGCGCCGTCTCCTCTCGCTGACTCACCCGCACGCGCGGGGGCCAGGAAACCCTCCTTCTGGGGTTGCTGCCTCTCCCCACAAGGGGAAAGGGCGGAGAAGTGTAGGGACAGACCTCTGCTCACAGCCCCCCAGGAAGTTACTGCCATCCCAAATGTATCCTTTTGTTAGTCAATTCTGGAATTATGCGTGATAATACTTTCCTCCACCCTAGAGTTCAAACTTCAGTGGAAATAATATTTACAAAACTCATTCACTTACTTGTCTCACTTGTCTATTTTAGTTTCTTGTTACAGACGAAACCTCCCAACTTCCTCACAAATGGAGTTATTTTGCTGGGTTCCCCACTAACGTCAATCATAATCTTTGCAGAACATAAGTCTGAGTTTTATTTGTACTAAGGCAATACAGGGAAATACCATTTTCCTAAATTCCAGGGTGGGGCAGGCAGTGTCTTTGAACCCTGATTGGCCCTCTCATACTTAGGATATAGTTCACAGATATAAGTGCATATCAGGAACTGTGACAAGGAAAACATAAATCGTCCATATTTACTTAGAAGCAACTGCTTTTGTATTGTTTTAGCTGCTTGAAATTTTTAGCTGCAATGAAACTTGTTATTTTGTAAGGGTGGAGTGAAAATAAGTTCACTGCCTTGCACGTTTTTAAAAAACATATTTTTATTGATTTCAGAGAGGAAGAGCGACGGAGAGATAGAAACATCAATGATGAGAGAGAATTATTGATCGACTGCCTCCTGCACGCCCCACACTGGGGATCGAGCCTGCAACCCTGGCACGTGCCCTGACCAGGAATTGAACTGTGACCTCCTGGTTCATAAGTCGATGCACAACTACGGAGCCATACGGGCTGGGCACCTTGCACATTTTTAAGTGATTTGGGCCCTGATTTTGGAAAGCGTCAAGCTATTTCTTTAGAGAGAACACCCCACCCTCTACCAGTTTCACCTAAATATGCCATTTACTTAATGCCAAGAACCTCAATTAGGTCATTGTGAATGACACAGGCACTCCATTAGTATAAGGACAACACAGCGCATTCCAACCAGGGTCTGGCATATTTGTAGGGGGGAAAAATCACAACTTATTTACCCACAATATGTCTAAGAATAGAGTCCAACGCTAACATACAGAGTTCAAAAATATGTTTATAGCAAAATGCTTTTTTCTTGACATCTGGGCCCAGGAGAGCATAGAGGGAATGCTTAATATGCAGGCTGCTTGGCAGTGGGAAAAATAGTCATATAAGTAATTCAGATGGGCACAGGTGCTTCTATGTGATTTGTTTACCCTAGGAAGGCTGTGGCTCAACCCTTTAAAAATAGTGAATGCCACAGCTTGTTATTTTAACTTCATCACTCCCATAAGCTTCAATACTTAGCTTTGGAATGAAAGCTAAGTATTGTCTAATATTTCATTCCAAATTCAACTTCTACCCTGCTTTTCTGGATTTTATTGCCTCTGGCAAGGCCTCCTCAATATCATGAGTTCTGAATACATTTTCTAAAGGGCATTTTTCTGTTGTTCTTTCATTGGAAAAGAAGAAGTAAGATGCGGTCTTCAACCAGTGAACTAGTCGTCAGATCATCAGCTAAAATCAGAAGAAGCTTCTCTGGTTCCTGTCTTTAAAATTCTGCAGACGGAACGCTGTGGTGTACAGTGTTCTTGTTTATCTTCCATGGAAAGTGATTTGTTGTTTAACCATGACATCTTAGTCACTGCATTCCTTCCTCCCTGATATAAAATGCAGTACTGAGTCACCCATGGTTTTGTTTGCTTGTGTGTTCATTCCTGTAGAAGTCAGTCTATGTCTCTTCATTTCAAGGTTGAATGAAATAACTGTTCATTTTCCGTTCGCATCACTCTGACTGATGCCCTTTGAGGCCTGTGCTACAGGGCGTGGTGCAGAATCTGCCCCTGCAAATGCTCTGACTCTCTTTGCCTGATTCAACAAGGAAATCCTTACATACAGACCACCGGACTACCTTGCCAGCTTGCCCACTTGTTCTTTGCTTTAAATTTAGCTTCTCAATTTCATCTTCAATTGTTCCCCCTAGCTGGTTTGCTCAGTGGATAGAGCGTCGGCCTGTGGACTGAAGGGTCCCAGGTTCGATTCCGGTCAAGGGCACATGCCTGGGTTGTGGGCTCAATCTCCAGTAGGGGACGTGCGGGAGGCAGCCAATCAATGATCTCTCTCATTATTGATGTTTCTATCTCTCTCTCCCTCTCCCTTCCTCTCTGAAGTCAATAAAAATATATTAAAAAAGTAAAGAAGTAGTTCCAATATTATAGCTAGTAACATTGAAAGATAGCAGGTTGTCTTTTTAAAAAATATATTTTATGCATGGCTGTAATAATATTATGTTTTACACATATACACATATTAATATGTATTGAGCACTGACTGCGCAAAACACTGTTCTATGTGGTTTACATATGGTAAACCTCACAATAATTATGTAATATAAGTACTGCTCTTATCCCATTTTACAGACAATGAAATCAAGTTTAAGTAACTGCCCAAGTTCACATAGCTGATTTAAATCCTGGAAAATTTCCTCCAGAGGACAAAGTGTTAACCACTCTAAGATATACTACCAGAGCAGAATTTTATTTTCTTCACAGAGGTTGAAGAGGTCTCTGGAAGCTACTCTATTTCCAAAAAGTACTTACAGGGGCTTATCCTAGAGGTGAAGGCCCAAGTGCCCATCCTATATAATAAAATCCTAATATGCAAATTGACCAAAAAGCAGAACGACTGGCAGAACGACCGGTTTCTATGATACACACTGACCACCAGGGGGCAGGCACTCAACACAGGAGCTGCCCCCTGGTGGTACTCCCACAGGGGGAGCACTGCTCAGCCAGAAGCCGGGCTCACGGTTGGTGAGTGCAGCGGTGGTGGCGGGAGCCTCTCCCATCTCTGTGGCAGCGCTAAGGAGCAGTGAGCCAAGCAGTAAAGAGCAGCGAGCAGGCAGCAAGTAAGGAGCAAGGGGTCCCTGACTGTGAGAGGGTGCAGGCCAGGCTGAGGGAACCCCCACCCCAGTGCACAAATTTCATGCACCTGGCCTCTAGTAAAACATAAAAGACAACCTGCTGCCCTAGCTGGTTTGGCTCAGTGGATAGATAGATAGATAGATAGATAGATAGATGGACGGATGGATGGATGGATGGATGGATGGATGGATGGATGGATAGATGAATAGATAGATAGATAGATAGATAGATAGATAGATAGATAGATGATAGATAGATAGATAGAAGATGAGAGAGAGAGAGAGAGAGAGAGAGAGAGAGAGAGAGAGAGAGAGAGAGATGGCTTGGCTTTGTATTTGTTGGGCATTTGACTCAGTGAAGGCAATTTAGTTTTCTTAGTGTAGTCTGGTCCTGTTGTTATTGATCCAGAACTCAAAAGGTCAAGCAAGGATAGCTATTTTGGCCCAGCCTCACAGCAGCTGTATGAGATACACCATGCCCTTTTAAAGTTAGGTCCGTTGGGATTCTAATGCTGTGAATCACAAGAAACAGTTATTTTAGTTTGCGCTGATTGAAAGTGATCGCATTTACAAGATCACAAGTGGTCTATTTCTTCCAGTATTCACTTGTTCCTGGCCCATGCATCTTCCTTAGACTTCAATAGCATGAAGCCTGGCCCAATGATTGATCATGTGGGTGTTATATTCTAATAAGGAGTAACCTAATTTTGGTGAAGTATGTCTTGGAGAATAGTAAAATGTTTGGTTACATAAAAAAACACCTTTCAGTTAATATTTCAAGGCATCCCTGGAAACCCCCAACAGCTATGATTACACTTAAATAAAATAATTGGTTTCTTAAAAGATATTTGCTAATCCCTTTTAATATAAGTAGGTCTACAGTTGTATATTAAATAGTTTATTCTCATATTATTTGTTAATTATTTTCCATACTAACAAATGTAAACCTACTTCTGCCATACCCCCTGTAAATGTATGTGTGTGCTATATATATATATATATATATATATATATATATATATATATATCACTTAAAAGAGTTTCAGTTTTGCCCAGCTGGCACATCTCAGTGATTGAGCATCGACCTATGAACCAGGAGGTCATGGTTCAATTCCTAGTCAGGGCACATGCCTGGATTATGGGCTTGATGCAGGAGGCAGCTGATCAATGATTCTCTCTCATCATTGATATTTTTCTCTATCTCTCTCCCTTCTCTGAAATCAATAAGAATATATTTCAAAAAAAGAATACATATTTTTAAAAAAGAGTTTCAGTTTTAATAACTGGGAAGAGCTAACTGAATTTAGCAAACACTTACGACATGCTGTATATCTCTGTTTGCTATTGAAGGGGGACAGAAAGTTGGGGAGAGCTTCCCATTGAGTAAGGAGGTCAAGAGAAATACCAAATACCTATAATTCAATGCAGAATATAATTTCTACAAATTTCTTTGAGGATTCCTTTAAGGCAGAAATTAAATGTTGTGGTATTGTGGTTAGACATTCTGGAGAATGTGTTAGCACATCCATCTTTAAGTTTAGGAAGGTTTTTAGTCCAAAAGGTGGACCGTGGGAATTCTGAGTGAAGAAAAGTTCAAGCAAAGGCGTAGAGGAAGAAAAGTATGTGGGTGTGTTTGGGGAATAGTGAGGGATTCTAGGTTTGGCTTGGCTGGATCCAGGACTGTGGGAAAAGTAGAAGATACATTGAGAGTTATGAATGGATATATTGTGGAGGACTTTGAACGTGGATGTGAAGTTTGTGCTCAGGTAAACAACATACGGGAGCCATGAAGTGGCTGAACATGGGAACTGTGGTTAGCGCTCGAACTCATGGCAGGTATTGTGGTGCCTGAGGGCACAGCAAATTGGGGTAGACACTCGAGGGGAGGAACTCTGCTTAGATGCCACTTATATTATAGTCCAACTGAGAGAGAATAAGGTTTGAATTGTGATGAATTTAAACACTTTGAAACCTGCT